TTTTATATATCTATATATATATTTTCAAAATAAGAAATTTCAAAATGCAAAATAAAAATGATCAGAAGTATAATTTTTCAATTGATTTTCATTTTTTATTCGAATTAGATAATATTTAAATTTTATCTTAATTAAATTTCATCAAACAAAATCTATTTTCTAATATAAGATAAAAGATATGTATAAGAAAAAATAAATAATCATTATTAAAATTAAATTATTAAAAATTAATTAAAATATTAAATTTATAAAATTAAATTATTATTAAATATCGCTTTTAATAATTCAAAGAATGAGATTATTTTCCTAGATTTATTATATACAAAAAACTTTTTCTTGGCTATGGACATACGATAGAACATTATTTCTCCTTGTGATACGTTTATTACGCAAGATTATGTGGGATAGTCTGCGGTTATGCTTTATTAGACTGCAGAAGATGCGAGGCTTACTTTTGTAAACATGTGTGATATATACAATATTTCGTTTGCTACTTTATACGTATGAATTATTATACATTATGGTTAGTTTAATATTATCGGCAATATATAATAATATTGCAAAACAATCAATATCGATTTTAAATGTTCAACTGTCTATTATAGGCATATCTTTGTTATATATATATAATTCGAATTGTTTCTTCAAAATAATAATAAAAAGATTTGAGTATATATACATATACATTTTTGAGTATATATTTATTTTTTAATTCTAAATATCAATAACTTTTAATTTCATCTTAATTCTTATTGGAAAGTTTGAATATTTCAAATTATCGCATCATATCGTTAATGGAAGATCTAGAAGTCAAGATTTATCTCGTTGTTTGATAACCTTTTTATTTTATCATTTTTATTAATCATTTTATTGATAATGCAGACTATATCAATTTATATATTTTTTATATAAATATGTATTTTCAGTCTTTCAGCTAATGACATTTCTATGACGAAAAAAATTCTAAAAATCTTGATAGAATAATTATTTCTTATTTTTTAATTTAATTTAATTATCTATTTTGATTTCTTCATAATTTTATTGCTTTTAATAATTTAAGACTTCTTTTATGAAAAAAATAAGAATTTTGAAACATAATATAAATAAAAAATATTAAATTAAAAATTGTTTATATATCAAGAAACAAAGAATTATTTGATTCATCGATATAAAATGGGTTGATTGCTTTCAATATATTAATCGATAAAGTAATAACAGTATAAGTAAAAATAAACAATAATTCAAAAACAAATTATTTTCTTTCTTTTAACATACATAATTTTTTTTATATTATCGACATTAGTATTGTTCAGAATAATTAAGATAAATTATTTTATTATTATTATTATTAAAAAAGAATCTAAAAAAAAAATAATATAAATATAATACAATAATATAATATAAATTCATCTATTTTTATATTTTTATATTTGTAAATTTTGATATCATGATTAAATTCTAAAATAAGATCATATACATATATCATTATTGCTTCTACTTATATGTATCACTAATCGAATATTTGTAATTATTAATCTTAAATCAGAAAATATGTATATATATAATATGCAATCATAACCGTTATTAAAATATAAAAAAATATATACAAAATTAGAATTTTTACAAATTTAAAATTTTTAATAATTATTGTATTAAAAATATAGTTTCAACAAAACGTTACACAAGAATTCAAGTTAAAGAATTTTATATATATAATTACTATATTATATAACATGCAATCATGAAAATTCAAATTGATACATTACTTGGCAAATTTCGTGTATGTATGTACATAATTTATTACATATTTATATATCATATTTATTATCATAGATATTTTAATATTGTCTTTTAACGATATCTATACATTAATAAAATTAACACAAGCATATATATATTTAAATTATTGTTATTATAGTACATATTCTATATTATATTTTTTTTTCACTTTTATTCAAAGAATTTAAAATTTTAATAATATATAAATATCGTTATGTATATCAAACTAAATGACTAAACTAATCGATAAAAAGAAGTTCAAATTTCAATAAATCGTTGATATAAAATCAAATTAAATCATTCCATTGCTAGTTGATTTTAATATTTAATTGATTACACGTATCTTTCGTATTTATTATTTTCTATATTTTAGAACAATATAATATTAAAAAAGAAGTTCAAATGGCATTTTACTGAGATGAAAAACAACGTATAGTTAAATAAATTTTAAAGTTAATGATGTTACGTGACCTTGTGAAATGTAACTAATCACGATTCGGCCGATAATGAAACGATCATAGCGCCAAAGTTGTATAGTCGCGTCAGTTAATAACGTTATATTAAAAATTGTGACTGAATATTTGATATAAATATACATTTTAATTTTTTTTTTATTTTTTCCTTTATTACTGTGTATACGGATATTTAAATGATTCACTTTTTAGAAGTAATAATGATAGATAGCTTCGATGATACGCCGTTGATTTATACCATAGTGACACATCCACGCTTGTTGAAGATACATTAACTCGCGCGCTCGTATCGCGTTCAGTTGGTTTCGTTCATTCGAGAGTTTGAGGATCTCGAAAGCTTGGTGTCGGTTAGACGTGAATTTAAACAATCACTCGCATGCTGTGAGTGACGAGTGAAAATTAATATTCGCGCGCACTCTCGCTCTTTGTAGAGCTTTGAGAAAGATATATACGAATGGAATACTTGTTGAATGTAAGTGATCGTATATGTGGAGAAAAAAGATAATGTATTGTTTTCCATGGTTGTCAGAATTTTATTGAAATTTTTTTTTGAAATCGATGATACAAATTTCTTAGAATATATAATCATTCGTTTATTATTTATTATAAATATAATAATAGAATTAATTCACATAATTTGTATAAAACATTCCATTAGAAAATAATTGTGACTGTTTGCGTCCAATAAAATTTGGTCGCGCGAACTGTTTGATTGACATAATCCATACTAATTTAAACCTTGCATTTGTTCTCTTGTAAACATTGAAATTCTACTATCATCCAAGCGGTGAACATTGAAATTGAAAACATTAGATAACATTTAAATCGAACTCAATTGATAATAATCGAATAAATCAACCGTTTAAGATTCATTCGTTGATAAAAACTTATGATACGATATGATCGTTATCTAAAACACTTTATCATATATATATTTTTAATATATTTTTTATATAGTTGTAAAATTTAATAAATACACATTATGCAATACAATTGTACATATTACATCATATATCGTAAGTTTGCCATAATAATATTGTTAAAAAAGATTAGGAATACAAGAATATGTTTGTCATAATCTTTGCAAACTAAATTGTAATTATATATCTATTTTTTTCTATCTTTTTTTTTTATTTTTCATATAAATTCAAAACAACCACGAATTAAGAAATTAATATTATTTGTTTGTGATATTTCATAATCACAATTTATTTCTTTATTAATAATTTAAATTTATCAATTTGAAAATTTTTATTTATAATCTTATATTATATTATTATATATATGTGAATGCAATATTTATGATTACATAAATATTT